CAGGTGGGACAGACAGTTAGTCACTAAAATGATTTTAACTGCTTATGTAGAGTGGTTGAAAGCCTAGTAGTGATGATCCAAAGAGAGAGATTTTTAGGTTGAGACCTCGTACATCCGACAATATAATGTAATCAATGTGGAGTAGACATGAGTAACATTGAGAAGTATCGAAGGTTCAATCCTCCGACATTTAATGTGGGCTCCGATCCGCTGGTGGCTAAAGACTAGAAAAATGAAACCAAAAAACTATTTAATGTAATAGAGGTGACCCCATAACAGAAAGTACAACTAGCTACCTTTATGTTGAAAGGACTGGCGGAGTGATGGTAGAGTTTAAAGAGGGGAACTTTAATCTCTCAAATAGCTTGGGAAGTGTTCCTGGAGGCCTTCAATGTAGAGTATTTTTCATATTTTATTAAACAACAGAAAGAAGTCGAATTTGCAGAACTTCGACAAGGAAAGCTATTAGTAGTAGAATATACGGAAAACTACATTAACTTGGGACGATTTGCTCCAGAGATTATGATAAATGAGTGAAAAAAGGCTAGAGGTTTGAAAAGTGGTTGAGACAGGAACTGTATCATCAGGTGGCGCTGTTTGCCTTACCCACATATCAAGCAATGTTGGAAAAGGCACAACTAGTAGAGATACTACTTACGGAACAACTAGAGTGCAGTAGAGCATTTTTCAGCTACAAACGGATGCCACCACAACCTAATCAGATAGAGAAAAGACAGAGAACAGTGTAAGACTCAACTCTAAGTCACCAGATAACCTTGAGGAGTACACATTGTCCATATTGTGGCAGGAGCCAAAGAGATCACCCATGTACTGCGATTAGTCGAGGATGTTACCGATGTGACAATACCCAACACTTCGTAGGGGATTGTCCCCTACGTAGGGAGCCTAGTAGACTGTTAGTGTAGGGTTGGTATTTGCCCTGATTACTCAAGATGCGGAAGCCACACCAGAAGTGATACAAGATACACTCTATGTTTCAAGTTTGCTTGCTATGGCTTTGATTGATCCAGGAACTACACACCCATTCACTTCATGCATGTTTGCACCTAAGTTGAGAGTAGACTCGGTAGTATTCGACTGCATGCTTACAGTATCCACTCCCATTAATGGTGCACTACATACTAATATAATATATAACTCATATGGGATAGAAGTAGCAGGGAGAGAATTATAAGCAAATTTGATTCAACTAGACATTAGAGATTTTAATGTAATTTTAGGCATGGATTGGTAGCTCATCATGCACATGTAGATTTATTCTGTAAAGAAGTAATGTTTAGAATTTTGAATGAAGAGCCCTTCGTTATATTTACAAAAGAGGGATGAATTGTACTGCACCAAAATATATATATATAGTTTGGGTTGGAGGTGGTAATAAATAGTTGTACTTTCATTTATTGTTTATATCTCATAGTAAATAATATATTGATGGGTTCTATGATTGTGGTGTGTGACATTTTAAGTTTATATACGGGAAAAATAACATTCTTACTAGTGTGTTTGGTAGGTTAAGAGCATAAGGAACTCACTCTGCAAGAGATACTGGTAGTACGTGATTTTTCTGATGTATTCCTAGAGAATCTTCTTAGCTTATCACCAGACTAGAAAGTTGAGTTCATAATAGAGCTATAACCGGGAATACAACCTATTTCCAAGGCCCCATACAAGATGGCGAGATTAGAATTATTGGAACTAAGTAAGCAATTATAGGAGTTGTTAGACAAGAAGTTCATAAGGCCCAAGTGTATCACTGTGGGAGCACCGATATTGTTTATGAAGAAGAAAGATGGGACTATGTGCATGTGCATAGACTACAGAGACTTAAATCAAGTAACCATCAAAAACAAATATCCACTTCAAAGAATAGATGACCTCTTTAATCAGTTACAAATGACCATAGTATTTTTAAAAGTAGACTTACAGTTTGGGTATCACCAATTGAGAGTGAAGGCATATGACATTTTGCACCAGGTACGGGCACTATAAATTTCTTTTTATATCTTTCGAACTAATAAATGCACCTGCAGTATTCATGGACCTAATGAATTGAGTAGTTAGATCTCTTGGACTGTTATGTGATAGTGTTTATAGATGA